AGTGAAAATAAAAGACTGTTTACATATGATCTTTATCAATACTGTGAATCAGAAATGGAATTTGTAACATTAGAAAAACAAGGAACGGCTCTACTCACCAGTTCCAACAGTCACAATGACACATCGAAGCTCTGAGTGATACTTCACTGAACTGTGGTAATAAATAAGTACAGTAGTTTAGTTATTAAATGATGTTAACAATTATTTTTATGTTTTCATTTAGTCCTTTTGTTCAATTTGTTTTCACATGTGCAAATAATATTAACTTAGGCCTGTTGATGCAGATGGGAAACAACTCTTTAGAGCTGCTTCGTTCGGTGGATTACTTGATTAATCGACTGACTACAGACTATCTTAATAATCAATACAGTTGTTTTAGTAATTTTTCTACATTAGTTTAGTTTTATGTATTTATACAGTGTTTCCATATACTTTTCCTTGGTGTATTATTCATATGACAAGAGACTAACTTGCCTTAGACTTGCCTGGACAACAAAGCAAATAGGATGGCTTTCTTCATCTTCATCTTCAGACGGTGTCCACCTCAGGACGTACTCTCCTGCTGCTGGTGTAGTCTCTTGTATGTTGTATGGCCCGCTGTACAGCAGCTCAGAGATGCTTCAGCAAATAGAAAAGGGAAATATCTTTTTAAGTTAAATAAAAATATTCAAAGTCTCTCCACCCACCAATGACACAAAGTTGTTTTCTGTAATGATATGATCAGAATGCTACAGCAGCTGACTCAGCTTTCTTTTTCACTCTGTTTCCTTGTACCACAGAATGTTGATGAGTCACAGGTCATCATTAACATGTGGTATTTTCATATTAAATGTGTCTTATTTTAACATACATGGAGAGATTTGCCTCTGCTTTGATATTGATTTCCAGGGGCTGATTGACAGGTGTGTGCAGCTGAGCTCTGTTGGCTGGGGTTGGAGCCAGGAACCTGGGCAGATAGAGTCCCTCTGTGCAGGACGGCACCGGAGGATCCACTGGAAAAACAGAGAAAAGCAAACTTCTCTAAAGATGGCAGAAATTTTCTTATCAGGAAAGTCCGGAGGGAGATGCTGTTCAACCATCTGACAAGTGATTCTGTTAAAACATACTCGGCCCTTAAGAGTCTACTGGGTCTACGCTAGCTGCTCTGTTTAATGTAATATGCTTACAATTACAATGCTAACATACTGATATTTAGGTATATGATTTAAACCATCACAGTCTTTACTGTTTAGTTTTAGTTTAATGTTTTAGTATGCGAATATTTTTTGTTTTGCACATATATGATCACAAAATATTGGACAAGTTTAAATTTTCACCCAATGACAGGGCTACACATGAATGTCTGAACTAAGCAGCAAGACATCCATCCAATAATTGTTGAGACATGCCACTCAAAACCACAAATATGAGCCTCATTGTGGCACGAGCGGAAAAATCAGGGATCACAGAAGTTACTAGGATTCATCATCTGGTAACCATGAATGTTGGTACAAAATTTCATGACAATCCCTTTATTCACTGTTGACATTTTTCGGTCCTTAGCAAAGTGGTGGACTGACAGACCGTCCACACCACCCACAGTGCTAGCTAACGTAGATACGCATAAGTCGAAGCTGTCAAAACAGGAAATCTTACCCCATAAAACAAACTGGATAGGTATTTTGCTGATAGCGTCGTTTGTAGTTTTCACCACCTGCAAACCATTGGTTTGAGTCAGGGTGATAGTCTGTCTGGGGAAGTCCTCCATCACCAGCTGGACCGCGTACGGTCCTTCATTGCTGCGACTGGTGGGGCTGAATGACAGAGAACACGACTGCAAAAGGATTTGAAAAAAGACACATAAGGTCAAAATAAGCAAAATATTTTCTGTCAGGTAATGAAATTCAAGATGGAACAAAAAAAAACAAAACAACCAAAATAAAAAACAAGTCCCTACACCAGTGTGTCAACTCTCTGTCCATGATGTGACATGATACTAACAATGGTTACTCACTGATGCAAGGCTGAGAACAGATGGTGGTGTGCAGGGGTTACACTCTCCCAGTAATGTGTTTCCATATCTGCATTTAACCTCGTCCCCGTCAGGGTCAAACGCCAACAGGTTGAAATCTCTCTGACAGTTTGAAGGAACTCTGACAGGGAGAGACAGAAAACAATGTGCATTTTGCCATTGTGCGACCCCCCCTTGTCAAAATGTGGCACTTAAATTGTTTTTTAAATATAGAATGTGGATAATTACTGACAAAAACACAAACAGGGAGGGGGTTTACCTCACAGCAGGCACGATGGTAGTCTGTGGTGATGTGTTGGCTTTGCCAGTGTCTGACCGGTTTCTCAGTTCAACCAGAGTCACAGCTTTCCACGATATGATGCCATTTCTGATGTTATTTATCCAGTTACCACTGTTCAACCTTTGGTCGAAGATCACGGAAAAGTCAGTTATTATAGTGCTGTGCTGGCAGCACTGATCATTAGCATTAATCATCTGGATGCAACAACTTAAACACAGGAGGTTTTTACCATAAACTGATTTATTTCTTTCTTGCTGTATGAGTGCATGAGTTCAGTATAACTGTTGACATTTTGGACATTTTGAGTTTGGATTTACTTAACCATCAGTAAAATTTAAGATTTTTTGTTTGCTCTTTTCACACAATGGATAAATGGATTGTGCAAATTTTGCAGGTTCATGGAGCACTCACTCGAGCTGAAACGGAGCGTTGCTAGAAACCAGACGAGTTGACTTTCCTTCTGTCTGGCACCATTCTCCACTGCTTTCCTCGTCGACCCTATTCTGCACTAAACTTTCAGTCCCACAATTATTACTAGGACAATTCCATCTTAAATTTGAGCAAGAGTGGAAGTTCACCTTATAGCGAAGCACCACCTATAGTATTAAAGTGAAGACATGTTATGGTTTAATGCCAACATCTATGATACAAAAAGTTTTTTTTGAGATGTTATTTTGTTTGTTATAAAATCACTTTTCTTCTTCTACTTTGTTCCACTGTTCTTTTAATGATGACTTAAAATACAGCATTTACTGCATTTTCTAACCTTATAAAAATAATTACTCAAATCATAGAAATACTGATTTCACTTTCTGTCACAAGCTGCTTTTACTTATGTGCTGTCAAATACAAAATAGTACAAATACAGTAAAATACATACCCTGCCAGTGTTTTTTGGGTAGTAGGTCATCACTGTCCCCAAGAAATGAGAAGCCTGGGAGATGCTGACCAGCAGCAGCAGCAGCAGCAGCAACAGAGAGAGCGACATCGTGAATGTGTTAGTCTCTCTACATAAAGACAGCAATTAAATACCAACACTGACACATATAGTCAAAAAACAGCCCCCTCTTTCGCCCTGCCTATTTTCTCCTGCACGGAAGACTTCTCAGTTTCAAATCAAACAATGAACCAGGAAATGTTCCGGTATGAGGAAATGTCTTGTATCCAGGTTCATGAAATAATGTGCACGATTGACAAGTGGTACAGTGCAAGGAATGCAGTTGTTTTAACCAACTGTCCAATTGTCAGTCGTGCAGAAATGAGATTGAGATTGTAAACAGAAGGTAGAAATCATGCCTTATCTTGCTCTTTCATCCAAAACTTCAATGTTTTGTCTACAAATTGACTAGACTTGTGCTTGTATTTTGATGTGAAGCATTTAACATGCTATAACTCTTTGTAAAAATTTTGGTGCTCACCTTCTTGCCTGCCGCCCTGACACAGGTCTCTCTGCGAGGTTCATCTTCAGAAACTTCTCATAGAGCTTATTTTGGGTTGATGTTCTGCAAGCGCTATGTACAGAACAGGTCACAAATGGTGGCAGCTGCATGTTTCACCAATGTTTGTCGCTTTCAAATTACAGAAACATTTCCTTGTGTATTATCTGAAACTATTGATGTTTGTTTTGATTAGTGAAAGAAATACAAAATGAATGCAAGAGGGAATGGTTTTATGTTGCAAAGTTTGTAAGTTTGGTGAAACATGGCTAAGAAATCAACACACTGAGACATTAGGCCTAATGCAGGAACCAGTCAAATGAACAGATTTTGTTCATTTGACTGGTTCCTGCACAATGCATGATTTAAGAAAACTTGCAGCTCCTAAACAGTCTCGTCTCAAATGTCATGTACCGTCTTTCTCTTCAGAAATGGTTCCCTAACAATGAACAATGAACTATTTGATGTCTGAAAAGAGTAAGCACCCAGGCGGAGCCTTGGTTTTGTCTGGCATGTGTATGTCACGCAGCCGTTCTACTTCCTGTTCTCGACAGATTTGATGGTTTCATTCACCATGACAGAAAAGTAAAGTATCATTTAACATCATGTCCTTAAATAATGAACTTTCTTTGTATTTCAAAATTTGGAAAAAATTGAAAAAAAGTTGGACTGTGCTGTGCACAGGAGCCTCCACATCTGACAACCTATCAATCTTTAATGCAAAGATTGAGCTCTACAAAGACTAGAACAGCTTCAGTCGACCAGAAATCATGACACACACCAGTTTTATTTAATATTTTATAGAAAGACAACAAAGCAAACTGTACAACAGAAATAAGTCAACATATTGGACCCTTGTTAAAAGACACAGCAACCAACACCCAAGTGACCTTGTCTGGGTTAAATAAAAACCAAGCAACCAAGTCAATCTAAACAGTGACCTTTCACTACACAAGATTTGATTAGTTCAGAAGACTTAAGTGTCAGATGTCATCAGGCACCTCTTCATTTTCATTAAAATACATGTTTAACTTAATAATGTGCTTATCAAAACTATAGGATTTTCTGTTTGCAATGGGATCACACCAGCTGTGACACCCGTCAACATGTTGACATTCTGACCTAAGAGTGCTCGGTAGTTATTACATTATCACCCGAGAACTGAGTACTAATGGGTCAGATCGCCTCCATATTCTTCATTTAAACACTAATACATTCCTGTAAAGTTTGATGATTGTATCTAGCACAATTGTGATGGTATCATGGTGAGAAAACTTGCCATGGCTAGTAATAAACTCTATGATTTATTTAGACTTTGACAGTCAATTATTGTTAACAAGGACAAGAGAAACTAGAAACAATAGGAAACTCTCTCCACATACTTTCATGAACTCATTTCTTTTTTCATTGTTTTTTAACAATTCTAATGGTAGAAGAGTTAATAAACCAATTGGCTTGGTCAGGCTTTGCACTAATAAAGCTGGAGTGGTTGTGAACAGTTATCTGACCTTTTGACATCATGTGCAAGCTTGAATTTTATGCTTTATTTATACGACTTTCAAAATAACTTAAAAGACACCCAGACGTCCATCCTTCAAAAGATGCTACATGTTGCATTAGGAACATCAAAATGATCAAATTATGTAATAAGATTATACCTTTGTATTACTTAAACATGAAAGTCAAGGTAAAGATGGTTGGCAGCTTTTATTTCACAACAGAAACTAAGCAGTTACCAAGAAAACAATTTTCATGAGCCCCTATGTTGAGTTGGACGGAGTTTTAATCCCAATGGGACCACCCAGCCCAAAATATCTAGTGTTGTGGTAGCTGTATAATTTACAATATTTAGATCAAAGAAGGTACGAGGTGGAATTTTTTATTTCCTAAGCCACTGTAACAACCTGGCTTTTACACATTTGATTTACAGTTTTCACATTTTTATTTAAAAAACAAACAAACAAAAAGTCAGCTGAATCTGGATCAGTCAGAAACTGAGCCTTGAGAATTTTGTCTTGAACTTCTTGATGGTTTCTTTTGAAGCTTCTGGTAGTGTTTCTAAAAGAAGGGGAAGAACACAAAATGTATGACTACGTGTGTGTGTTTACTTTTGTGTATGTTGTGGTTGCTAGCCGATACCCCCTGTAGGCAAGGATATATTACCGACAAACAGCCGACTGATTCCCTATGACCTCAGTATCAGACAGGTCTATATTCTACATACGCACTTAGCTATTTAAGTTAGAGTCTGCTTAAGAAAGCTGAGATTGACTGTTGATAACCAGCTGGGTTTTATCACTTCTTGCAGGTCACAATGTCGTGTGAATGTAAAGAGACGACTGGATAAAAAACCGAGTATACGTAAGACAAATCAATTCAATCTACACTTTAGTATTTAATACTTAAAAAACACTGTTCATTGAGTATCAAGTAGTTAAACTGAGAATGTCCAGTTTAGCATTCAACAGTCACTACGTTGTTGATGTAGTGACTTGGTGTAACTAACAACAAATACGTGTGAATGTTAACACAACGTTCGCATTTACTTAATATTCCTCAGTGACAAAGATGCAGTGACATATTGCTCTTACCACACTGGGACCTGCTGCTGTCTCTATCTCCCTGGGATCTGCTGCGTCTGCCTCTCCCTCAGCTGTCTCATTACCTGTGCCAGCATCTTCACTGACCACCAACTGGAATTGGGAACCGACTTGTCCGTTCACTAGCCACCGAGTCCACGTCCTCTAACGTAATACCATGCCTCTCCCTCTTTCTGTTCGTCTTTGTAACTTAGCAGTACGCAACGGTGCAGGGGAGCGAGTAGAGAATAGTAAATAGATCGCAGATGGTGTTGTTTTGACGGATTAAAAAAACATACAAATAAAATGTCAAAATAAGTCAGCAAATATACTCGGGCGACCGTTGATATACCTGGGCGGCCTGCCCAAGTAAATTGTGGGAAACCCCGGAAATGTAACACAGGATGCAATGCACCCCGAGAGATGCATAGTATAATCATTAGAAAAGTAAATCACACCGATGCTTCAATAGGCTGAACAGGATTACTGTAGTGAGGCATGGCCTGAGGCTGTCAGCCAGCGGTGCGAATTAAAAGAGTTCTTTATTTAATTGTTATTCTTTTATGTCCCGTTTCCATTGTTTGACTATTATACTTTTTGTGTATCAAAATTGAGTGGGGCATCAAAGGGTTGAGACCAGCTGGATCTTTCACCACTATGTGTTTGTGCGTACCTGCAGGTTGTCGTAGTGTCTCTGGCTGCTGCAGTGGAGCTCCTTGGCCGAGTTCTCGTTCAGGTAGAAGACAGAGCAGAGATTACAGAAATACCCCGATTTGGGGACCACAAACTCCCGACCTGAAGAGAAACAGAAACAGGAATGTAAACGAAAAACAAAACAAAACATTTTAAGCTAATCATCATTAAATAAAATCGTGTGTGTTTCTCACCAAGGGGGTTGTTGGGGTTGAATGGTGGAAGTTTGAAGTCAGCAGCAACACAAGGAGACTGAGAACGAGATCTCTTTGCTTCAGGTCCGACAAGCTCCCTCTTCCTTTTACTCACAGCTGAAGAAAAGGAGGAAAGAACAATCATAATCACTTCAGCCCTGACAATCATACTGGAGCTACAATGATAGTCAATTTATCAATCAGCAGATAATTAATCAGTTATCAACTGATATCTTTTTATAAGTAATTAATTGTTCTCTCTTGTTTAAAACTTTTCAAATGTAATGATTTACGGATTTTCTGTCATATCTGATTGACATTTTGGATTTTAGACCTGTTTGAATAAGACAAGCTATCTGAACACATCATCTTGGGATTTGGGAAATTATATGACCTTTGATTGTTTGATGCTTTATGGGTTAATTGATTGTAAGTAAAGAAAAATAATCTTTCGTTGTAGGCGTAAATGAAACTGAAACAATTCATCACTTCATAGAATATCAATCTGCAAAAACTTTGATAATCGATTAATCATTTAAAATTAATTATTATAACAAAAATACCAAATATTCAGTCGCCAATTTTCTACTTCTCTGATAAAAACTAAATTTTGGGGGATTTGGATGCCAAGTTGGAATAATTTTTCACAATTTTCTGACATATTTTAGACACAAAATTAATCGGTAATAGAAATAATCATTATTTGCAGCTCTACATGTAAAATCAGCAATTTCAGAGAAGTTTTATTGTGACACATTTTGTTGGTTCAAAACAAACAAAAGGCTTAGAGTGAAATGTATGCTACAACTCTTATGTCATTCTCTCAGCTCTCTGTACCTTTAATGTCTGCCGTGCTCGCTCCTTCCTTGTCCTCCTCTCCTTCCTCCACACATCCTTCCAGGCTCTGGTTCTCAGGGTGCTCAGGCTGCAGCTCCTGCCCAGCAGAGGCAGCATCGATGTTGGCATGGCTCACTCTTTCCACCTCTGCCTTCTGGATCTCTTGCTGGCTGTCACTTGACAACGCTGACGGATCTTTGTCCAACGATGATGAGGCATCGAGTGAAGTGAGAGGTGGTACATCAGAACCGGTTGATTCCTTTTCTTCTTCTCTCTCATCTTTTGTACCAATTTTTTTCCCTCTAGTAGATTTTCTCACTGTAGTAAATTAAAAAAATATATAGTAATTGAGCAAACAAATGAAAGGGAAACTGCAAAATAATAATAATGTTCACATTTTAGGGCTCCATCGCCACTTTTTCATTTTTGAGTCTAGAGATTAGAGTTGGGGTAATGACATGATTGTATAAAAGATATAGATGTATGCGTTTGTGTTACCAGGGGACTGTCTGGTTCTCTTCTTGGCTCGGCTTCTTGTCCTGGTCGTTTCCTTTTCTTCCTCCTCCTCTTCAACCTCTCCCACCTCATCGACTGTGACAAAGTTCATACTCTCCTCTAAAGTAAATCAAAGAAAGAAAAAAAAGGTTTCAGGCCACCATCAAAACTAAAACTCTAAATGTGTCATTTATGAAGATTGAGTAACACACACCTGTGTCGACATCATGTTTGCGTTTCGAAGATATTGAGGTTTTTCCAGCTCCATCTTGGTCTGCCTTCTCTTCTTCATCATCACCTGCTTCATCTAAAGTCACCAAAGTCTAAAAAGAGAGAAAAGAGACCTTTAGCATCAATGCTTCTGTATATGTAAAACCTGCCGTAGGTTGTCAAATTTGTGTTTTGCTGTGTATATAATTTCTCCAGGGAAGAAAATTAAACTTTAAATCTCTATCTTTACCTCTGGGTTTAAGGAGTGCACTGATTCGTCCTCCTTGCTGGGTGGGCTGGCCTCCAGTGTGCTTTGCTCATCCTTTCCCTCTTCCTCCTCTTCTACGATTTCATCCAGGGTGACGAGCGTCTGCAGCTCTCCCTCCGTGATCTCCTCATCCCACTCTTGACCCTCTGCTGCTCTTTCCTCTCCAGCCTCATCTGCTCCCACCTCATCCAGAGTTACCAGCTCCTTGGCATCTACCTCTACCTTCTCCTCTTTTTCCCTTCCCCTCTCCTTCACCTTCCTCGTCCCTGCCCCACTGCTGCCTCCTCCTCTGCTACTGCTGCTGCTGCTCCGGCTCCTTCGCTCCCTCTCCCTCTCCCTGGTCCTCCTCTCTTCCCGCTCCTTCTCTCGCTTCTTGACTAGCTGCTTCTCTTTAGCGACAGCTTGCCTCTTCCTCAGTTCTTCCTCCTCGGCTGTGTCGTCAGGGTAATCCTCCTCCTCCTCGCTCACTTCATCCAGGTTCACCAGAGCGCTCGCTGCAGCTGTTGTGTCATCTTTTGTGGACAGCGTTTGATTCTTCTCCTCTGCTGGTGTTGCAGTATCACATCGGGACTTGGTTGTTGATTTGCCCTCTTTCTTAATGTCTATTTTGGGTATTCTCTCCTCCTTTCCCATACCAGACTCTTCTGCAGCAGATGGATCATTGATCATCTCCTCCCCGATGACCACTTTTTCGGGTGCTTCAGCATTGTTGGTACCACATCTTGGTGCGTCTTCTTTTACAGTTGGTGCATCCTCTTTTGAACTAGTTTCATCTTTTGTCTTAGTTCTTTCCTTCATCCTTCTACTGGACACCTTTGTGGTCATCAACTGTTCCTGTACTTGATCATCTTCCAGAGAATCTACGATCTCATACATTGGCTCCTCATCCTCCTCCTCATGTTTGGGTGATCCTGTGAGAGATTTGCTTTTTATTTGCTTGTTGTTGTTCTTAGAAATGTTCTTTCTCGGACTCTTAGACTGTTCTGTGGAGGGGGGATCGTCAACTAGCTCATCCTCCACAGAATCAAGAATCTGATATGTCACCTCATCTTCATCAGCCACTTTTTCAGATGCTCCTTTGTCGTCCTTCTTCAGTGTTACAGTGTCTTTTTTAGATGATTTAATTTCTTTCTTTGGTCTTCCCCTTTTCACTTTTCCTCCTGTAGCAGGCTGGTCATCCTTAGCAAACTCATCCTCCACAGAGTCTAATATTTCATAAATAGAATCCTCTTGACTTACCTCTCCTACAGTAATGTCACTCTGCTTTGCTGGTACACTCTCTTTTTGAAGTGCCATCTCCTCTTTCTTTAATGTTTTTTCCCGTGATTCCCTGGCAGGAATGTGCCTCCTTCTTGTTGGTGTGTCTTCTATTTTTGTTTTCTCATTGGAAGCTTCTCTCTTAGTTGTTTTTTCCCTTCTTCCTCTGGTAGATCTTGTCATAAAAGTTGGTTCTTCGGCAGCAGTCTCGTCCTCCACAGAGTCTAAAATTTCATAGGAAGCCTCCTCGTCTCCATCAGGTTTGTCAGATGCTTCAGTGAGATTCAATGTCATTTTATCCTCTTTCTTTCCTCTTGCACTCCTTCTTCTACCAGACCTTTCTGTGGCGGCTGCATCTTGAACCAGTTTGTCATCAACAGAATCTACTATTTTGTACACTTCCTCAGTGACCTCTTTGATCTCTTTGTCTTTTTTAGAACCTCCTGCAGTGGTGTCCATCTTCGTTCGTGTTTCATATTTTTTAACTGGCCTGTCCTGCTTCTTTGGTGATTTCTCCTTCTCTTCCCTTTTGGATGCTCTGGTCCTGGGGCTACTCCTCTTTGATGATCTATCATCTTGTCTAGCAGTCAGCTCCACTTTTTTGATTCTTTTTTCCTTGTTGTCAGTCTCAGACTCTGTCTTTGTAGTTGTTGGCTGATCTTCCACAGAATCAATTACCTCATAGGTATCTTCCTCTTCTTCCATGTCTTTTTTAGACATCTGATCACTGGGAGTTTCAAGTTTGTGGCTGTCATCTTCCATGACCACCTGATCGTCAATCGAATCCAATATCTCAAAGGTTTCTTGTTCAGGAACAACACCTTTTAAAGTGTCTTTATTGTCACAGACTTCAAGAGGCTGTTCTCCATCATTTGGTATTTGTTCTTCAGGGTTTTCCATGTCTTTGGAGGCTTTGCGGGATTCTGGTGAAATCATTTTGCCTTTGACCTCCTCTTCTTTTTGTTTTCCAGTCTTTCCATCTACCCTACCTCTTGGATCTTGTTTGCTACCTGTATCCAACACTTGAATACTATCTTCCTTATTTGCCTCTTGGTTTTTAATAATTGCAACTTCAACTGCAGATTTATCATCAGATTTGTTGACTACTTGAACCACATCTTCCTCAGACAGTTGTTTTACAGTGGAACTGTTACCTTCAACGAGGTAACTGTCTTCTTGACCTGTTGTGGCTTGACTTTCAGTAGCACTGTTGACCATTTCAAAAGAAACACCCACTTCCTTTTCACTGCACTCCTCAGGGCAGGCTTTGCCTTCATTATCAACAGTGCCAAAGACCTGTCTGTCCAATGTTTCCTCATGCAAACTCCGGTCATTCTCAGGCTCTGTTATCTTTGTTTCAGAGCTGCCTACTTGGTCCCCATCATCCATCTGTTCATCTGTTTGGTCATCAAGTGAATCAAGGATTTGATAATTTTCAGCGTCATCATCCTCCTCCTCTGAATGTTTGCCAACATCATCTTCTTTCCTTCTCTCTTTGCTTTTCTCCAGGTTGTTGAGTGTGTTGTCTTTAGCATCAATCTCAAACCTCTGGGATTGGCTCAACTCTAACCCCCGTCCCTGTGCAGGTGGATGCATCTCTGATGATGTTTCTATTTTTGACTCTGACTCAACAGTTTTTGCAGCAATGGCCTCTTCTGACACCTTGTGGTCAGACTTTACCACTGCATTCTCTGTGGCTTTCGCTTCTCTATGTGACTCAGGATGAGTCTTTATTGATGCCATCTTTTCAATTTCATGTGCAGTAGAGGACGATTGGGTCCTACAACTCGAGGAAGACGTAGTAGATGCTTTGAAAGGAGATTTTGTCTTGCTCTGTTCTGCTTTTGGACCAGGAGAGGAAGAGGTTTCAAGACACAGTGAGGAAGAGGCAGAGGTTTTACTAACACTGGCATAGGATGAGGGTTTGGTGGGTTCAGATGAGTCCTTGGCCTTTTTTGGTGACGCAGAGGTCGATTTAGAAGATGAGCTTCTCTTCATGGAGTCTTTAGTCGACTTGGATGAGGAGGAAGAAGAGGATGAGGAAGAGGCTGAGCTCATAGGGTCTTTCAAGGACCTTGTCGAAGTTTGTTTGGCAGTAGACGATGTGTCTGAGCTTTGCCTCTCTTTTTTCCCTCTGGAGGACTGCTTGGAAAAGGAGGAGCTCTGGTGGTCGGGGCTTCTGTCTTCCACATCGCCAACTTCATCAACAGTGACAAAGTCCTCCATGTTGAAATTTTGCTCATCAAAAAGGTAGGCGTCTGAAGAAATCACGTCATCTGTAAAATCACTTTGACCCTGGATCGAGAACAAAGAAGGAATACAATCTCTGAGACAATTACCTCAATAATCAAATATACTTGATAGTTTGACCTATTGATTTATTGCAAACAATAGTTTTTAACAAAGACTGGTGAAAAAGACAACAGATAAGTGTCATGAGCAAATTCTGAGAGAATCGTATCATTGGCGATTGGGAGTCTCATTCTCTGTGTAGAGGAACGTTTAATAAAGTAAGAAAAAATAAAGGATAGATTGTTTAATCAAAAAGCACAGATGTTTACCCTTTCTTGTGGTGTGTCTCCATCCTTCACACCTTTAGAGCCCAGGTTGCTTTTGCCAAAACTCTACAAAAAAAAAATATTAAAAAAGAGATGGCCAATATTGCTGGATTAGTGACAGGTGAAATTAAACATAAAGGCAAAATTGTACAGCGAATTTCAATGTTTATACCTCCCAGGCATAATGCAAGTCAACCTTTCCAGTGCATGCAGTGCATATTGTTAATGAGACATCCGCATCACTCATTTATATATTGTTTAGCTTTGCTCCAAGTACTTCTTTGACAAAGGCAGCAAACCTGTATGCTGGTGCGTCACACTCAAATGTTGTTTCAAAAATAAGACTGGTGTTATTCTATACTTTTGCTATTGTCCACAAATATGAAAAGCCCAAAATTAACAATGTGTTGTTGTGCTTGACTTCCCACCATTGGGTCCCCTTGGTTCCCATTAAATTCTTCATTAGGAACACATTACTTGTGCTATTAGCCAATCAGCCAATCATGTGGCAGCAGTGCAATCCATTAAATCCTTCAGGTACAGTTCAGCAGCTTCACTTAATGAAGAAATTAAATATCAGAATGGGGGGAAATGTGATCTCAGTGACTAGTACTGTACAAATATGCTATTAGTCACATGTAAATGCTGAGTGAGCTTTAAAGCCAGGCGTCACCTGTTTCTCTTCACTGTGTGTCCTGCTTCCTCGTGTAAGTCTGTGCTGGCGAACTGCTGCTGTAAGCGCATTGAATATGTCCTGGTCAATATGAAGGAGTTCTGTGGTGTTTTCTTCAGATTTGACCAGACTTGTGGCTAAGAGTGTGGGACTGGAGGCAGCGGGGACAGTGTTTCCATCAGCAGTATCGTCTGTTGGTGTTGGAGCCCCGTCCTCCCTCTTTATTTCTGCTTTCTCTACATCCTCATTTGCCTTAGAAGCAATGGTGGATTCCATGGTAATCTCAGTTTCCAGTTTCTCACTCTCCTCCTTTATTGCTACATCATTTGTGGCAGTGGCACTTGGTCCTGATTCACAAATGATGGATCCAACAGGAGCTGCTGGTTTAGCAGAAGCAGGAATACTGGCTTGCAGAGCAGATTGGGGCCCTTTATCAGAAACTTCAGAAGGAGGAGGATGTGTTGGGGGCTTGGCTTCAACATTTACGGTGTCCAGTTCAAGGTTTATTGTGATCTCACTGGAGTCTTCAAGGCGCTGTTTTAGGCTCTTCAAACTAAAATCAAACAAAGAAAACTAATAATCATTTTCAGTATCAAATTAATCTGCAGACCTTTTTCCAATATATCACCAACTGTTTGTAAAACTGTAAAACATATAGTTAACACATCCCATCGTATTTCCAGAGTCCTTGCTGATATCAAATGTGTTTTTGTCTGATAGTCTAGTAACCAAGGACATTCAGATGACACTCATTTAAAAAAGAGAAAACCAGAAGGCTCTCACATTGGAGCAGCTGCAACCACAGAATCTATTGTATTTTTGCTTAAAAAAACAAAACAAATTTGTTACTTGCAGGTTCATTTTCTCTCAATTGTCTCATTGATAAACCTTGCAGTATTTTTTTATCATCACTCTGGGGCATGCGTTGATAGTTTACGTCAATCAATTATATGTGATCTGGAGCCAGAATAATGTGGGTCATAGCAGTCAGCAGTCATTTTGGTTACATGATTTGACTTTGTTAAACTGACAAGAATCAGTTACAGGGTGATGTACTCACGGCTCAAAACGCTGAACTTTACTCCTGTGTAAAAGGAAAAAAAGAGGTTTGTCAGTTTAGGTATGAGGATAGGAGATTAAAAAATAAACCTTTTTATAAAAGCCTGTGTTGGCAAACACTATATATAGGTAATTATATAACCATATAGGTAATTATAACTTGTTTACTCCCTTATCTCCCTCCCTAATTAAAGAACACACTTACCAAGTTACAACCTTAGATACAGAGTCCGGTGAAAAAGTGTTGTACTTCTCCACCACCTGTGTTACACCGCTGGAGTCAGCCATCTCAACGCATATCTGAGGTAGAAAGACAGTCATGGACATGGAGTGAAAAGAGTGAATGAGGAAGAAGAAATAAGTGGCAAGAGAAAAACAACAAGTAAGGATCCTTTATATATGAAGTCAGAGTGTATTCAAGCAGAACTGTGGTACTAAAAGGCATGTTACAATGGCTTTTCTATCCAAGCTTAGATGTAAAAGGTGGAGGTGTTGCTGTTGCTGTGTTATTGTTGTACCCTGTTGGCGAGTGGCAGGAAGCTGACAAAAGCAGCGATGGACGCCACCACTTCCATGACCATCTTGACGACATCCACAGTTGTCTCAGAGATCTCCACACAGAGCAGCCTCTCCTCCAGAGACTCTGGATCAGGAACACGCTGAAAAACAACAAACAGCTGGTGTTAAGGACCAAGGAGACAAAAGAAATAGCTGCTTTCATGTTAAAATAAATGATTTATGACTTACAGCGTTGCTCCATTTCATCAGCGTTTTATACATGAGCTCCTGCAAAAAGAAGACAAGTCACAGAGAGATGTTGTCAAAACACATTTTAAAGCAGCGTACATTATATCTGCATTTTAAAACGTATTTAAAACCAACAACTGTTCTCCAAATGGTTCAGATTGTATGCATACATGTATTTCTGTGCTTGTCTGTGGAGTACTCCTAGTTTCAACAACCACACTATAATATTTTGTTGTTATTTCTATCCAAACATTTCTACAGAAAGAATTAGAGGAAATCACTGAAAGAAATTAGACGGAGAACCAAGCGAAGCAAGGACCCCCAGTGTCCACACCTCTCTTGATTCAGGATGCATCTGCTCCAAGACGAAATGGACACGGAGTCTGGAGCCTCCGACAAACACAGGATTTCTGATGTGATCTCGGACAAAATTGCAGCACGCAGTCAAATTGTTGAAATACACAAAAGCCTGGAGGCAAGGAGAGAAGAAAGAAAAAAAGTTATGACTTAGTTTAATTCAAACAACAAAGTTCAATTTAATCAATCAAAATGCGGCATCTTCTCCTTACCCTCCTCTGCAGTGTCAGGACTATCACGTTGTAGTAGAGGGAGTGAAGATTTTGTTTAGGGAAATAAGGCCAAACCAACTTGGTGACGTCCTCATGCTTGTAGTTTCCCTCAGGCAAACCAGTCAACATGATTGTGGGGATCAAGAAACCTTGACGCTTGGCCTTCTACAGGACACAATGTTCAAGACAAAAGTTAAAGCCAGAGGAGTCAAACTAGGTTTTGCCTAACGACGTTCAGACCAAAAGCAGTGAGTAAAAAAATTTGCTCTGGCTGCCCTACCAAGGATGCTGTTGAAGTCTGTGGGTGCTCAAAAGTGTACGCGTGTTCTCTGGAGCAGAGAACTTCTACATTCCGATTGGTTGCTGCTGAATCGCATCATAGCTCACTTACTTTACGGTAAATAAAGTTGCCTGGACTTCAGCTTTCTCTGACGCTGGCTCACACAGAAAATGTTTGACTTCTGGTCACTTGGACGTTCTTGCTGCTTTCGATCTGAACATTCAGTAACTTGCTGTAAGGTTGTAATTTAAGTTACATCCTCTGAACCAGCAGCAAATCTGAACTGAGCATAAAATCCTCCAGGTTCAACAGCTTAATATTTCTTTTATCTAATTTAATCCAATATCAATCAATATCTTTAGCTGTTTTGTTTTTTCGATGAATGTCATTGCAACATGAATATAAAAAAAAAAAAAAAAAAAAAAAAAAAATTAATGCAGTTATCGGGAAAAATCTGCTTACCGCAATGTCATCAATTTCTCTGACCGTCAGATGATCTGGGAACCAAAAACAAACACAGTCACTTTCCTGAACAATAAGTAAATACGTTAAATTTGGAAGTTAAATATTGTCTCCAGCTGTCTCTTACCTGGGATGATGAACCAAGGGGACATGGTAGGGAACACAAAGGGACTAGCTGTCAACGTGACGCAGAACGGTGAAATGCTACCCTGTGGAACACCAAATTTTGTTGTTGGGATAGTTGTCCCGGCAACAACATCCTTGCTGTCCGGAATAGCGTTTGCGGCAAGTCTCGGTGCTGCAAGAACAAAAAACAAGAAGGGGTGTATTGTTTGAATGTATCTGAAGAGTGACCACAGTTTTTATTTCCTGACATGAAGACTTACGTAGAGCTGTACAGTCGCAGTGAGGGGTTTTCAGCCTGTAGATTGTGTGAGCAGGGGCCTGTTTCAGGAGGCTGTACCAAACTCCGAGCCGATCAGCATCACGATTGGACTCAAATTCAATAAACACCTGAAACACATATAGGACAGATAAGACGAACAAGGAAATCTTTTTAAATTCCCTAAAACACATGTACTTGTGTGTTTATGTTTATACCTTGTTCAGGAGAGGCATGTAGTTTCTGACAGAATCGATTTTTTTCAAAGCTTCCCTGAGGTCTTTGGCCTCGCTTGGTGAAATGTTCTTGATGTAGATTGTTCTCTCTCCATCATCAAGCACCGGCTGTGTCAAGAACAAATGAACATTTACACTTTTCGACTTTGAAATTACTCTAAACGTACAAAGTTATATTCAGTAGTTCTTTTAAAGTCCAAGTTCATTTTGAAAACTGGGGATGAGTCTTTTACATAATCACTGGGAAAGTAATTGTGTTTATTACTTACAGATTTCATTCGCTTCATCACTGATTTATAAAACCCAAGCTGAAACAAAACATCAGAGTATTAAATATACTACACATTGATAAAAATCTGTCAATAAAATCGAGCAGTGTCGTGTACATGCTTACCGGTGACATTGTTATGCCGCCATCCACTACATGCACTGCCAGTCTGACGTTTTTAAGAGTCATGCGATTCCGTCTGGTGGAAGTCAAAAGCTTGTGCACATCCTGCACTGTTGGCATCACAGCAAAGGCCTTAAGAGGAAAACCAGAAACAAAAATGTATTATCAATTATACTGACAGATTACATACATGTTTGTAATAGTAATATAAGAGTTAAAATCAGTCTGAAAATCATATAGGAACCAATAGTGTATTTATTACAATAAGTATGCAAAGATCTCACAATAAGTGACGTTCAACTGCAAGTTAGAGTAATAATCAAAATAAACTTAATGTTACATAACCCTGTTTAGAAGAAGAAATGCACAAAACCACACAAAAACAACAAAACAAACAAAAAGACCATCCAACAAATGACACGAGAAGCTGATCGAGGGGACTAAAAGATGACAGTAAAAATACAGGATTAATAAACCAAACCGATGCAGATTAATAACCTGGTGCCTACCATGCGAGCCTGAGGAACAACATAGATGTTGTCATCTTTATATTCAAATCCAAATGGAACGAGCAGGTTGGCGAGGTCTTCTACTGTGTAGCAGCCATCGTAGTACTTTGGCAGGTTGGTTATGAGCAGCTGCTTCTTACCAAGTGAAAAAAACTGGGAAAATGAAGGAAGAAAGAAAAAAAAGACAAAATGTTACTGAGGTCTTGTTTGGGCATTTTAGTGACAACATAAGACTGGATTAATTATTTTGCTAACAGTGACGTTCTCGCAGTCAGACTAAGGCGAAAATCGGCTTTGAGTTCAGTGGGAATGGATCCTAAGACTTCACTAAATCTGTTACAGGAAGTGACAGGAGTCATCATTGTGATATAACCAAGCTTTACGCCCTTTGTAAACTAAAGGATCACTATATGTTATTATTAATGCTATTATAAACAAATAAACTAGAAACTGCCTACAGGCAAGAGAAATTCTTTGAGACAAAATTTAAGACATCTTTATAACTTCTGGGGCCTTTTTTAGAACTGAATTCATTCATTTTAAGACTGTTCAAGACCTGCAGATATGCTGTGCAAAATTACATTCACACCCATTCAAGAGATTTTAGTACAGATCAATGCCTATTGCATCAACTGAGGAGCAGATCATAACCGAACCAAAAAAAAACTACATGTTTAAATACTGCAGTAGTTCATAAAAGGGGAGTTGAGAAAACCTACTTTTGGTAAGAAGCAGGTTTTATTCTTGAGGCACGCTGAAAGAGAAAGCAAAAAATAGACAAAAATATGAATTAGGATCACCTGCAACTGTAGATATTTATGATCTTCATATAGTTAATGAATCCAGTGAGACAAACTCAGTCTCTTTCTTGGATTTCTTACTGATTTTATTTTGATGCAGGTGCTTTTCTACCATCTCCCCAATAGTCAGAGGGGTAACTGCAGCTGAAGAGGTTCCTGCCGCTTGCGGCTTGCTCACTGCTGCAGCTGAAGAGGATGAGGTGCCCGCCTGTTGCTGCTCACTCACTGCTGCAGCTGGAGAAGACAAGGTTCCTGCCAGTTGCTGCGCACTCACTTCTGCAGCTGAAGAGGGTGAGTTTGCTCCCAGTTGCTGTTTGGTCACTGCTGCAGTTATTGGCTCAGTTTTGGCAGATGCAGCTACTTCAGTCAACGCAGCTGAAACCTTGCTGACAGCCTTGGAGGCATCCACTCCTGATGATGGATCTCTTTGGGTCTCAATGGCAGATGCAGGATCTTTAAAAGAGCAAGTTTAAGATGAATATTTTCAAAGATCATCAACATTGCCACTAAACCCTCTACATCTGTTGGATCCAGGCTGACACCAAAAAGTAAACCTTGACCATGAACATGACCCATAGTCTAATTTTCCATCTAAGTAGAATGATATCTGAGACACGTTCCTGAGATATGTGTTAATTAAAACATATAAAACTACAGTGTATTTGAAAATAAAGTTTGGTGGGACGGAGCCACATGTGGCCATACAACAGTTGTGTGTAACGATAGCATAATAACATACACTGTCTGCTCCTATAAATACCCTATAATCTGCTACAACAAACAATTTACCTCAGATTAATTAACATTTCTGGGCAAGCTTAGAGAGTTTCTGTTGCACAGCGATTTTGTATGAGTAAGGGTGTTTTAGTTCAGTATATAGTATTTTAAATGTTATTGTAGATGTTACTTTATCGATGCCCTCTGATTATAGGTCGATTAATTAGTACTAAATAACGCAATTGGTAAGATCTATCTCAATATGGTATTGTGTGAACAGATTTCTCTGTATCCTCCTTCACCAAACAGGTTAAGGTGATGGTCAGGTCAAACAAAGGCTCTGTGTCCTCGGCAGCCATAGGACTTTACACGTTAAAGGCGTTTTTTAAGATCCAGAGAAGTTTTATTTAAAAAATCATATCTCTTAAGTGATAGGGGTAAAAGTGACTGTGAGACCAAAATTTTACTTTTAGCAGACTCTCAGATGTCTTGCATCGTTCGTGCATATTTAAGCGCTGAAGGCTGGTCACAAAACCGGAAGTGTTAACGTGTTAGAATCGCAGCTAAGATTCCTGCCAACAATTCGACCCGAAGACAGACTTTCAGCATTCCGGAGAGCTTTAAAAATTATATGACACAATAACGACAGTAATGTAACAAAAAACAATTATAAAAAAACACGGTCACTAACACTCGCAGCTACAGTGGACCACGGTGTTGTGTCTAAACAAGACCTGTATGATAACTCTGGACCTTGGCTGAAGCCAACGGGAGTTAGCACTGCTACTCTGTAGCTAGTTTAGCTAGGTTCATATTCTCGGAACATCAGTGGTGGTTTATGTTTTCTGCTAAAAGCATTTAGACGCTTCAATTGAGATAAATACTGATTAATCCCTGATTGGCTTAACTGTCACTAACGTCCCAATGTGACGCCCAGATTAAACACTCCATGGTTTTTTTTTCTTTCCTCGTTAAGCCAAAGAGGTTCTGGTGACATTATATCTTGAGCTAGTATAATGCAATCGATAACCTCGTTGGACAGAAAGTGCTCTAATAGCAGATAACTTCGGTCGTATGTTGTATCGTAGACTCTGTTGAAAAGCCCCTTTTTGAACTAGGAATTGTACTCTGTTATCATTCAAGATACTGTTTACTTTAATGAGGCCGCATGCCAATAATATCAGGAACCTGAAAAACCAGCCCAAGATGCGTTTTTCTACTAGCGGACATGGACTAAATGTCAGATCAGTGTGAAAAAACCCCAACCGAAAGGGATCCAAGTTTGTAAAATTAACAGGAACGGGAACTCAGATTGTTGGTTTAAACTTCAATAGTATGATCAGACCTTTAGCTACTGAAACGCAAACCAAACATTAACTATCTTAAGGCAGCCCTTATTACGATGTGATGTTTAGGAACAAAGTGTCTCTGATCGTCATTGCATACAAGTGCCTGCTCAAACTCTCCTTCAGTATTCTTGTTCTTGTGAAAGCGTTTTTTGTGTACTTTTGACATGAATGAAGTCAGTAAATGAAGTATAAACGCCAGGACATTTTTTGGTACAGCCTTCTTGAAAGACCCATTCCTGGTGTCACTCACACCAGACCAAATCACTTCAAAAAAGCTGGGTGCATTTGTCCGCGATGAAGCATACATTAAATTTGAAATAGTATGCGGGACTAACAGTTATGTGATCAATATGGACTGCATTCTAATGAATGTTTGTTTTTGTTTTTGTACTTGTTACTTGTGAGAAAACATGGATGTGCTGGATTTTTCTTCTGTTTATCAAATGCAATGTCCGCACTATTCTTTGCGGAATTTCTATTTGGGCGCAAACAGCATGTGGCCAATGTATTAATGGCAAATGTCTGTGAGTCACTCACTGAACTGAAGTGAGTGATGCAATCAGCTGGCGAGGACATTGGACAGCTGAAGTGCCAAGTGACTGGAGTTTGAGTTCCTATTGGTCTGTTTGGCTCTTATCAAAATGAATTGTGCAAACAACAGGCGATCCAGGGGCGTTGGCAGTATATATCTGGGCCAAGAAAGGGGAGTTCTCACAAAGACTATGGCGTGTTTGTAAAATTGGTGGGGCAGAAAGTCCCTGGAAGATTTGGAAATGGCCAATAGTCAGTGGGATATTCAGCTTTATATAAGGTTCCTCCTTATACTTCATGATTTGGACCATATAAGTTTTTGAAGTTCCATAATTGTATATGTTGTCCTAGGTGAGGGTGATCGAAGCAGCATGACTACAGAAATTTTTTCAAAATCTCTGGTAGATAATATTTAGAGCCATCACATTGTAAAATCACATGAATACAATTGGTGGACCCCATGTCTGGTACAATTTCACTACACTGCACAACCCATCTTGTCTTTTAGAGTCGTCCGAAGTTCTATCTGATTTAGAATGTCGTTCGAGTAACCAAGCGTTTAGCTCAGTGATTAATGTGACTTTCTGAAATGGAAATTGTATGCTGTGAAGATGTTAAATTTTGCAATGTGCTTTTGTCTGTCTGCTGGTGGCCAGTCTCAAATGAGCATGGAAAGGAAAATAAATGAGAACGTGTTGCGTCTTGTTCTGGATGTGTTCTTCTCTCAACAGCCATGACCTCCTGTTTTCTCTCTTTGTCTGTGCTTTGTTGCTTTTGCCTCCCTATCTTCTTTTCTTGCTAGTGCACAGACAAGGACAGTGAGAAAAAAGACAGACTGATCCCTCTCTGACAGGAAGCACGGCAAGAGTGGAACAAGTCAAAACAAAGATCCTCGCAGATGATGGATGTAACCCAACCAAGACCGGAGCTGAATCGGTCCATGCCATTAATAACCGTTTCTTTGTTTTCGTTGACTTTTCACTTTCGCGTCTGCTATTGATTGCGTGGTGTCCCTTCCGTCCTATCCGTGGCCCCCTACGAGCACCCTACTTGGAGGGCTTACAGTGAGATGTGTTCCTGATTCGACAGCAGATCCTGCACTCCTTGCGGCTAGGCCTCAATTAAAAGCCCAGCTAGCACTGGATGCAAATAAAATGCTCTCACTGTTGCTGTCTAGCTGTAACTTGACCATGCCCCACAGCTCCAACGAGCAACCTGCTCCTACCCATATCTACAGCACTTCCCTACCCAAACTGCTGACACATCCAAATGTCGTTAAACGCATCTTGAAGATTGCAAAACCATGTCTCATCCTTTATATAACCCCCTTGACTCTGGGAACCAGAGTTCCACCCAGGGACAGTATGGACTCTCCATTATGCAGGCAGAGAAGGGACCCCACGGAGGGCATCTCCCCACCTTGGGACCTGGGTCTAGCTTCAGCTCTACGTGGATACAGTCTCTACCTATTCTGCTAGCTCTGGAAAGCGAATGATCCCGTCGTGTGCTGATCAACGTCAGTCAGTTCAGGCCTTGAACAGAGGTAGGGCATGAATAGATGAGGACATAGAAGGTCGTGTAGATATGCATATTAGCATGAGCCCGATGAGGAGGTGAAGGTATCATTGGCAAAACCCAGACTGGCATCCAGCCCATCGGGTCCAGGCACCTCACTTTGACCAGCACTCAGGAGAGATGATTTCTCGTCACTTTCAAGGGCACGGAATTGGACCTCCTGAATTCCTGAGCTCATATCCTCTGCCGCCTTCCTAGGACATCGAGCTAGGCTCTGAGCTGTTGAAAGTGGCAAGTAGCTCTTTGGTACTGGGTGGGCAAAATAGCTACGAAAAGGGATACAAGCGCAGATGAGTATTCCTCGAAGGGGAGGACACCTTAGTTGAGTTCTGCTTCCGCTTTCCATCTAAGCTACGTAGGCAGGTTCTGACGGTAAGGTTTAATTCCTCAAGTGAAAGGGAAACGTGATTGCAGTCCATTCCAGGGTTGGTTGATTATGACTATCCAGTGCCAGACAGAATCTTGCACCTCCACTGAGTCAAGTCGCGCGCGCGAAATACACTTTCTGAGAATCCAGCCCTGGCTACAATCCTTTGCACTTCGGACTTGGAAAAGAGGTTTGGAACATCTCATCTCTTACCGAGCGAGAGAGCCAGATCACCCCTGCCCAACCTGCCGTTCATAATGGCGCCAAAATCGCGCATTCAGAAGGTCCAAGAAGAGCTGCAACTGAGCAGTCAGTCAAAACCGTACCTTGAACCCAGCCCACTAAGGAAAGGTGTGGAGTGGAATGGACATTGAGATAGTTCTGCGAGGGGCAGGGATACGCCCGGAGAAATGTCATCGGCCTATTCTCCGAGCGCGCAGAAAGTGAAATTGACTATGGACTAGCGCGGAGAGTTATATGCTGGAGGGGTTAATGGATGAGATTGGAAAGGACCGAGTGGCACTATAGAGCTAACAGTGGAGGCGTGGGAGTTGGCAGTATGTTGTTGGTGGCACTTACAATAGTAGCATCACGGTCGACAACCATTGCAAAAAAGATATGACAGAGGTAAAAGCATTCCTTGGGTTCTTCACGTGATCAGGGGAGCTCTGCTTACTAAAGCCTTCCTTCAATAACATTTGCAAAAACTGAGCTCTGTAGCTCCCCCAAGCAATGATCCACAGCCTAAACAAGTTGCATGCTCAACCACAGACAGACTTCTCAAACAATCCTGAAGCCTTCTTTCTCTCTAACCAAAGAAAGACACCAGACCATAAGAGTATATCCAAAGTCTGAACCCTCCACTCCCTTCCTTTGAAAGAACGCAAAGGAAAAGATGGACAGTTCAAAGATCGAAAGCCAACCATCCCTGCCACTTTGTTCCACGGTGTGCATCCTGGGCCCGGAACCTGGTCTTGTGCTCATTGGAAAGCAAATGAACCATTAGGACACTAAGGATCAGAAGTACAGGTCGAGTAAAGTGGTTCCAACGTTGCTGAGCAGATGAAGAAGCAGCAGACGCAAACAACAACAGAAGCAAAAGCAGCACGCGCAGAAAGCAGCAGATCCAGCAGTCAGGCAGGCAAGAAGCAGCGCAGTACCACGAGCATGATGGGACCAGAACCGTGGCTCGCAGTTTTATTCTAGCCTGCGGCGCAGATCCGTTCCTCCTATCTTCTCCTCATCCCAGCAGCACAGATGCCTCACGTACCCTATGCAGTCGTTCCATGATTGTTTATGCATACACGTGAATATCGCTCTCTATCGTTATTCCTCCAGCTCACCTCAGCCAATCCCGAGCCCGGTGAACTTCGTCAGTTGTTGCCGCAAGCGCTTCCAGCAGCAAGCGTCGACCACAAGCGGCCAGGATCTCCAAAGGGTTACTGTGCCAACGCCGGCCATGATGCAGGTGATTATGCGGCGCCACACCGAGAGTCTTTCACATACCTGTTCTCTGTGTTACAAAAGATGTACCCATATGAAGGTGAGTGGAAGCACTGCACTCTGTTTTCTCTCCCTTTAGGAAATTTTTGGGTTATTTTGATTAAAATGTTGTTGTATTGTAACATAACCTTTTTAAATTGATTTCAATTTTTTAGTTTGTTGAAAGTACTGAAGTGGTTTGAATTTTTTTTTAAAAGCCTAAGGGTGATCGTATTTGATTTATGTAAAATATTCATTTGAATTTTAAATGGATCTGTAATTACTTTTTGGGATTATCTACTGAAAAGGCCTGACATGACGCTATAAACTGGGTACCATTTTGGCCAAAACGACTTCGGATTTGGCAAAATCTGTGAGAGAAATGGTTTTAAAACCTGTTTCATCTATTTCATGTACTTTTCCGATGATTAATGTTGTGCAAACTGTCCAAGGATGCCAGGGGCTGACTATTGTTAAGCTTTAATACAGCAAGTCATAATGTCTCTGATTCACAATGACTTGATTGACTGATTAAAAGCTGTCGTTAGAACATCAGTGTCTAGTTTAGCCAGAAGAAAAGTTCAATGTGTAATGGGCCAACGCCTAACATTCACGCTGACTGTTTGACTTATGCATACTTATTGTAAATAATGAAGAAACCTGGCCATCCTCTGAGAATGATTGTCATGACAGGACCAAGGGATCGATGTGACGTGGAAAAAATCTGCCAGACCAAGAAACAACTAATGCAATCAAGAAGATGAATGGAAAGACAGCTTGTTCCCCTATTTCTGACTTTTTAACTACTTAACTTGGAGCTGAGCTTCCACTTTTTTGTTGTATTAAAGTATTTTGATAAGCCCAACCAGCAGCATTGTACTGTCAAATATCACAAAATCAGCAGAGATCATTTTTTTTTTTTTTTTATTGACCATTTGCTTGTTGTTTTTCTCCGCCCTTTTTGGACATCGGCATTTCATATTTTGGCTCTCAGGCAACGACCCAGCTGCTCTTCTCCACGGTCTTCCCACATCTACCTGCCTCTACTCCAGACCGTGTGGTTTTGATCCTGATCCATACTTGATAGTGACATCTGCCGAGATAACCTGAAGACAGACATCGCAAAAATCAAGAGCCAAGAAGCCTTTTCATTTGGTTGTTAACTGGCACTGTGTCACCTGTGTTTTTCATGTGTTTCATGATAAAAGACTTCTGTCTTCAACTCAAGCTGAGTCAGCTTGTTACAATAAAGGTTTTAATGTTTTTGTTCATATCCAGGTATTATATTTGTTCCGAAAATGCTTATTATCCATAGCACTGTTTGTACTATAAGACTCACTTAGAACACAAAGAAACTTGATATGAACATGTTATCAAACAAAGTTTCTCCTCGTTCGAATGTGAAATCTCAGAAATAGTAATTGGACACTTTTTAAAAGGGTTAGTCATCTGGAACAAAAACGAAGCTCTAAAAAGAAATGTCTTTAATGTATATGTGTATAAAACAAAAATTTGGTGTCAATGGCAAGTTGAGAATATTTAAGGCTCATAGCAGCTGTGATGAGGTCTATCTAAAAGCTGTGTGGGTTTGTTTTTCTAAACTACTAGGATTGGCCTCTCCCACCAGAACACCAACCTTTCCACCTTGACAGCTGCACAAATCCTGCGAGCACAGTCAATCTTTTTTTTCTTATCTTAGTAGTTGTTTTCAACTTTAATTGTTAATTGAGTTTTTGAGTAAATAAGCGGCCAATGTACTGAAGTGGAAACAACCGGACAAGGAAGAATCGCTCACGGATTGTTTGTCCCTGATGAAATTTTGTAACTTTAGTGTTGTAATTTGGCGCAGACTGCCATAACAGAGTGGGTGACAAATTCAAGGAGAAGGGCAACAGGGCACAAGGTGTCACTGAATGGTATATCATTCTCAGTAGAGACTTAAACAGAGACTTGTAGAATCAATGCCAAAGGCACATTGAAGTTGTTTCAGGTGGCGCATGGTGGACCAATACCTTATTAAACACTATATGTAGGTTTTCCTCTAATTTGGTCACTCGTACTGTAGCTAATTGCAGTAAGTTATCTGCGTACCTTGAATGTCTTTCGTGAACCCACATACTGTAAGAGGCTAAGTCTTCTCTCAGGTCATGAATTATGGCTGGACTATTCGATGATGATAAAACTGTACATAAATTTTCTTGATACCATTTGACTCTAAAGTGTCACCCAATACGCAACTTGGCTTCATGAAAGCCTACCCAATGCAAGAATTATCTTAGCCTTTTGTCAAAATGTGACCTGTTTGCTGTTGGTAATGGTGGTAGTGTTCAGAATGTATCTTGTTTATGCAGTTGTTTGTTTCCCACAGATACCCAGAGTGGGATGGTGAGTAAGTACTTGAAGTCCAGCGTACATATTTTCAATCTCTTTAATATAACCACACCAGTTGAAAACACAGTACAATGCTGATTTTTGGAAATAAAATTTGTCTGTCAATCCACTTTGCTTATTTTGTAACCAATGCTCTCTTCAGTGACGCAGGAAAAGATAAGGCAAGTAAGGCAATTTCCTCAACTGCTGCCGCAGACTTCCAACATCGTAATCAAGAAAAACCAGCATGGGAAGCCGCTCCCGTTCAACTGCACCTAGTCCCCGAAGACAGCCATGAAAGAAGAGAGAGAAACCAAGCCAGATCACGATCACCGCCCAGCAGCTCCAGATTACACCGCAGCTCTGGTGAGACACAAATTCTATATTGAGCAATATTGATGGTTGTAACAGAGGAAGATGTCCACTTAGGCAATTAGTATCGTGAAAATCTGGCATTCAGCTATTCATATTTGAATGTCATCTTAAGAAATGTTCTTTGTGAAACTTTTACAACCATTTATGAATTTACCCTTCAGTTCCCGTCTCGGTTCCGCTCGTCCACGGTAATGACCGTCCTACGTTCTCTCGATACTGCGGTCGGAGTCCACCGGTTTCGGCAATAGGAGCTTTGAGAGACGGTCCTCACCGAAGGAGGAGAGATGAGAAAACGGATCTTCGAACGACAGAAAATGAGGGAGAAGCCGACCATCTCTCCGAGAGCCGTGAAAGAAATCCCCAAGGAGGGTGATGAGAAGACGGATCATCTCCAAAGAAGAAGCCGTTGAAAGACGATCTTCCACAAAGAGGTCTGCCCCCTCAACGTAAGAGGGTCGAGCAGTTGCAGAATACTGGCGAAGAAACTACTGGAAAAATCAGGCTTGAGAAACTGCAAAAAAATTATTATTTCTATCAAGTGTGAACATGCCACACAATATAATAAACTGTTCTTGTCATCATATATAATATAAAAGGAATAATACTAGTGTTTTGTTGACTTTTCATCTTCTTACTTTATTGAAGAGTTAGATGAGAACATTAATACCCTTTCTCTTATACAGTAACAGTATTAACCTTACAGCCAGCAGAGGTGACATAGATAATGGAAATGGGAAAGGGCTCAACTTGACTCTCTGTCTAAATCCTGCCCAAACCAACATCCTGGCTTTGTATCCACTTGAATTTTATGATTCTATACTATGTATATGATCAGTATCTTTGATCGGCCTTCTTTTCTTGGTCACAGTATAAGAATCTCATGCGTCTCCCTTCCTTTTATCTTTAATCTAATAAATGGCTCCAGGATCCCGCTGCAAAACCTCCAAAATTACACTGTCAGTTGTTGTATGACAGCTGTTTTTCAACCTTTGTCCCTCTAGCTGTTCCGTCATTGTCAAAAGGAGTCTG